GGGGGGGGGGGGGGGGGGGGGGGGGGGGGGGGGGGGGGGGGGCAAATTGCCCCGGGCCCCGAGGCTCTGGGGGCCCCTAGAAATTTAATGTTAGAAATTTAATGGGCCCCAGTCATTTTTTCGGGCGAAATATTTCTGTTTTCGGGCCAAAATATTTGTGTTTGGGGGGCAATGAACCAAAATTTGGTATGGAAAATTGCGGAAAAGTCTAACGAAAGCAATTATAACGCACCTAAAAAGAATTTATTGTCCGAAAAATTTTTTTCCGGAAAATTTTTTTGCAATAGGGGGCCCTAAAAATTTTTTGCCCCGGGCCCCCGCCAAGCTCTCGGCGTCCCTGGTTCTGAGCGTTGTCATTGGTGGATTATTTTTGTTAGCAAATTACAATGCACGTAACAGAACAGGAAGTGTAAGAACGTATAACAGGAATTGAGCAAAATTTAATTGGCTTTTAGGAACATTGCAGATTCCCTCATGGAATTTGCAAGGGCATTTTTCATATTTGCAAAGGTAATGCGGAAAATTGCAATCAAGTTAAGAATTGGACGTAGTTTACCTATAATTACTTCTTTCAAGGACTTGCAAGGCTCAACCTCGTACCCAGGCTATTTTCTCTCACACTCTGGCGCCACGGCCACCTGGTACGAGGATGTTCCAATTCCAATACTTTCAAGTTTTGTAAGAACATAAGTTGACTTGATGTCAGCCTGAAAACGGAGCGTTGGGCTGACATACCAATGACTGTCTGTGCACAGTCTATCTCCGAGTCCAAGGACTTCCACGTACATACAGCTTGTACAAGAAACTAAACTCTATACAATATACCAGGACAAATTTCATACCTGATGCAGTCATGACAATCTAACTGCTGTGCGATCTATAATTTATTAAATTTAACAGTCATTATTGAAATATCAGTGGAACTTTAATACTCACAAATCAGTTACAATTCAAGCTTACGTTTATTTTGGATCCATTATGCAACATGTTCCACAGAATGTCGACAGACAAAAACATACCCCTGGATGGTGGAGACGACAAAATAACAAAATCACTTGAAAAATTCATGACTGATTTTTTTAGATTTAACTGAAGTTGAAATTTCGTAAAAATTTAGTCCGAATCTTAGAGGTCAGACGGCACGAAACACGAACGTCGTGCGGCTCTTGCCATTGACAATCGGCTGTAACCGTTAATGCAAAAACAAGTTTATTATTATAATATCCATAACGAGACTAAGGTGCAAAAATGCTTCTCTCGCATAATTTTTTATATTGGAAAGGTTATGAAATTGGGTGTGGTCGTTTCTGGTTTGATTTTCTGGTAAACTCTCTTTTAGTTATACCCTATATACGATACTAACGCGAAATCACGTAAGTATCTTATTCTCAACAAAGTACAATGTAGTTTTACCTTCCAGTTTCGTGGGAATCAGCCAAACCACTACAAACGATACGAGCAGCTCCAGCAGGCAACATATCATCACAATTTATTGCTAAATAGACAAAATGAACGAACAAAACTTTCAATATGCTGCAAACGAAACAAAATTTAACAACTTGTTGTAAAGATACTTGTGATACATCACAGTGATCACACCACCTTCATAAGGGCAAAACAAGGAGGGACAGGACAATAGCCCGAGGTCATGGGTCAGTAGATATTCTGAGCGCGCATCGTTCACCTTGCCTGATTCTCTGAAGTTATTGTCGAGAAGGCAGAGAATAACTGCTATAAATATATTTACACTTTACCGCTAATTACTTGTCGCAAATATTAATTCTCGAATTTCGTTTTCCACCCGGTACAAACGGTGTGATTCTCGTTAACCGATTAATATGCTCCAGCTGGTGATTACTGCATGACAACCAGTGAAGCAAAAATATTGAAAATATAAAATTCTCATAAATATTGATCAAAGTCTGGTAGATCAATATCTGTCATGCATTGTATAGCTATATATAACGTATTTATGGCCGATTTATAGGTCATGATAGAAAAATTTCTAGTCGATCTGGTCCTGACATATACCTGAATGAGAAAAGCACTGCAAGGCGGTCATCAATTCCATCTTAACATCAAAGTTCCGACATCTTCCCAAGCACTATAGTTAAAATACCAGAAAAAATTAAATATAATACGCTCTATACCAGTCTGAGGTTTCGCTCATTAAAATCACTAAGTTATCATTATAAAAATAATAGAAAATACCTTAACAACTGCTTGCACCGCACCGCTTTTCTCCACAACTGACTTATTGAAGGCTGCACTGGTTGGCTCCACTCCTATACATAGAAAAAAATTAGAGATGTTCATTCATCCGTTCGTTCGTTCGTTCATCCATCCATCTTGGGTATTAAATAAGATCCACAGTCTTTTAATAACCAACACAAGATTCTGGTATTTCGTCGTCGATGACTATTGTTAATTATGATCCATTCAAAAACAATATGAACCTACCAATACAAATGGTTTGACTGCCCTTTGAAGAGTAAAACTTTGTCAAGGCCCTGGCCACTTGAACCTGGACAGCAGCATTTTCCTGATACATCAAATTTCCTACACAAACATGAAGACCTGGATTACTTGACTATAGTCAGTTCCACCACTGTACCATATCGATACAACAGGACAAGATGCATGTGGTTTGACCAGCTTTATAGTAACCATATGTTCCCCCTCTGGGAACCCCTGGGTGTGTGTGTGTCATGTTTTTGTTGCACCGTTTGCGCCAATTTCACCATGAAAAGACAGGAAATGTCCACTGGGGATTTACAAAATTCAATATTTTCCGAAAATTTTATTGTGTTTTATTCTTATAATGAACCAATTATAAAGCCTTTTCATATAGGTACGGGGCGACCCTACCGCAACACAGTGGAAAGCGAACGCAATGTTTGGTGGTTAGGTTAAGATTATTAGAGAGATTCAGATTTGACGTCCGCTACCACTACCTCGCACTTGCTCTGTGTACATCTCATTGGTTAATTCGGTAAATTAAACGCAACTGATTGGTTAATGGTCCCTTAATGGTAGCAGTAGCGGTAAAGAAAGTCAAATCTGAACGTCTCTAATATCTCGTAGAAAGAAGTACATAGATTGTCAAGAGCATCATTGTAACATGAAACGTTTCATGGATATCACTCACAAAACAAAATCAAAAGACATTTTGGAAATTGTGGAAGAATGAGCTCTTATCCTTCACTTCCCGCGAAATTGACAGTCCAGTACGATGTGGACAGCTACGGTTGATGTGGCAGATCAAAACCAGACGGAAGAAGTGTTCCCAGCAGACAAAACTGAAATAAACTAAATATTTTACCTAGTTCTGTGATGAATTCAGTGACAATGCCAGAAAAATTCGATTCATCTGAACTCCTTTCTTTCAAAAGCGGATTTCTATATTGGTGCATGATAAAATTAAAGCACTTATATTGATAAGAGGCTCATTGTAACGCAATAAAAATAAACGGCTGGATATAGACAGGTTTTTTAAGCTTTTCAGTGTGAAGCCCGGTTACAATATGACAGGGGCCATCATGAGATTACGTAGCTAATGATCGCGAGATCATGCGAAGTAGTCTAAACTTACTTTGTGTGATGTATCAAGTTTTGATTGCATTATTAGACCCCGTTCACACGATACCGGCAGAGTTTGAAAACGGTACGAAATTCTTACGTTTAGGGGTTGCGTTCACACGATGCTGGTATGAAAAAATGTGAAACCGTAACGCTAACCGTAAGAGTTTGAAAACGATATGCAAACCGTTAGAGTTTGAAAACGGAACGAAACTCTTCCGTCAGAGTGCCGTGTGAACGCCTAACCGTAAGAATTTCATTACGGTTATGCAAAATGAAATTAACAAAACTGCAAAAGTTGTTGTTGGATATTTTATTCTGTCTATTTTAACTGATTTGTGCAGCATATTGTCAAAGCGGAATATAATCTGCCGGTATCGTGTGAACAGTTGAAACAGAGATAATTTTCTGCCGGCAGAATTCCATGCCGGTATCGTGTGAACGGGGTCTTAGAAAGATGTAATGCCACTAATGCCGGCTACTGTGATATGGTCACGAGCAGAATACGACCAAATGAAAATCAGGCTTATCGGACTTTAATTACTTTTCGCAAACTTTACTACAATTTTCACCATACCTGCAAACCTTCAAAATATCACATAATGGCTTCTCATACGCCAAATCTTTTTCCACTCTGCCTGCACACGCTGCAATTAAATGACCAACTGCACAAATATCTTTTATCAGCTATTTTTTATGTCAAGAAGCATTACAAATACTGACTTAGAAACTTTAATAGCCTGCATGTCTACACTTTGTAATGGTTTGTCTTTTGTAGAAGGGTTTTGTAAATGGAAACTTTGAGTGTAAATTTTATACATTTATATTAGAACTTGATGTTTGTGATGTTACTCAGAGTGTGTATCCACACCGGGCAGGCTTGAAAAACATGCCTGGCCAAAGGTCGTAGGTTCGATTCCCACCGTGGTCAGGCATATTTTTCAAGCATGCTCGGTGAGGATACACACTCAGAGTAACATCACTAACATCAGATTCACCTGAGTACACAACACCAACACAGCAATTCATGATTATTAGATTACATTGATATCGATGGAACTAGACTCAGTTCTGAAATATCACGTACTCGAACCAACCTGACCGCCTAGCTCAGTTGGCAGAGCATAAGGATAGTTTTCCAAAGGTCGTAGGTTCGATTCCCACTGTGGCCAGGCATATTTTTCAAGCATGCCCGGTGTGGATACACACTCAGAGTAACATCACTAACATCGTTATTCACCTGAGTACACAACACTCAGGAGCAGTTGCGAAGAATGCAACTATGGGCCCTATGGCAGGAATCGAACCTGCAGCCCTGTGATTCCGGTGCCTTCTACAACTTGTTCTATCGAGATGGATGCCCCAAATCCTGATATTTACTCATACACCGTACATTGGCATTACCTTGGTATTTATACATGAACTCGAGGTTAGAGCTCGACAACTGGCCTCTGTAGCTCAGTTGGTTAGAGTGCTGCATCGGAGTCACAGGGCCGCAGGTTCGATTCCTGCCAGAGGACCTATAGTTGCATTTTTCGCAGCTGCTCCCGGTCTAATAAATGTATAACATTTACACTCGAAATTTCCATCTATAAAACCCTTCTACAATTTGTTCTATCAAGTGAGATGCGCAAAATCCTGATAAAGAAAAAAATGCACTCTCAGTGAATTCTCTCAGAGAGGTTAATTCTTTTCTTATAAGCACTTGCCATGCAATGACAATAAACACCCCCTAACAACGGCACAAACTGCTAGTATTCCAAAGGTCGTAGGTTCGATTCCCACCGTGGCCGGGCATATTTTTCAAGCTCGCCCGGTGTGGATACACACTCAGAGTAACATCACAAACATCATATTCACCTGAGTACACAACACCAACACAGAAACAAAAATATCTATCTTAAAATTTCGAAATATGCATTAATTTTATACAATAAGTAGTTTTGTACAGTTTGTATAATTTTTGTGTTATTCCCGTAACTCTGTAATTGGCCAAAACATGCTTTGGTTAAATTACACATTTGCAAATGTATATATTAATTAAAGTGGTCATTGCTTATAGTAAATGCTTTATATGTTACGTAGTATAATATTAAAGTCATATAATTTTTTGTAATAATGGGCCTTAGCGGTTGACCTACTGTATATAGTGATATATCATATCACACAAGGTATTCATACAGAAACATTGAAAAAGGATACAAATCCCTTTTTAAATTGTTGTGTTAATCTCTTGATGGAGCGAACATGGCGATCAACTAGCTTTTCCTATAATGAAAATTTAAATTAAAACATAAAAATTGATGGAATTCATTCTTACTGTCTGATTCGTTTAATATCAACTTGTTTAACTTTCGTTAACGTTATTCAAAGAGGACCCAATATTGTTGGTCTAAAATCATGCAATAATGTTGAAATATTTTGTTTCACTGCTTATTTGTCAAATCTTTTAGATACGATCACAGGATTTATTCCAATTGAAAATCTGTGCTTTAAAATGTTTGTGGAGAAAACCCAGAAACATCTCATTCTGCATCATGGGTGGTGATGAACAAACAAGACACTCAGAGTAACACCACAAACATCATATTCACCTGAGTATATAACACCAACACAGAAAAAAATCAAGAGTGGTCCGTTTGAACAAGCCTTTAGACTACACGCATTATACTCGGCTAGTGAAAATTAGTTTATACTGCAGTAACGGGAGAAAATCTAAAATATTTGACGTAATAGCTCTACAACTTCACGCATGTTTAACAAGTTTTCTACTGACATCAGTATTACACTGACAAAGTAAGCGGGTGATTAAAAACATGACTCTAAAGTTGCAAAGCAGCTTTTTAGACTCTCAAGGACATTAGGTATGACGTCATTGGTCAACGACTGTGGAAGATAAGACATTTCACGCTGATAACACGCTGGCACGCCATTAGGATAGCGCGGTCATTATGCTTGAATAGAGAGATCTTGAGGCTTTGCATTCATTTACTTAAACAAGAGGAGAGAAAACATGTCTATTAGTTATATATTTCTTTAAAAGGACTGATGAAATATCAGAACATTCGTACCGAAGCGTTCACTACTATAGACCGTTTTCCATTTCGATCACTTTTTCCGCATGAGAGGAGCGACCTGCTTGAATATGAGTCGTAGGTATAACAGTTTCTGTCTGCACTTAACTGTCTGCCCGACTGATTACTGACCACGTGACTCAAATAGGTCGCTAGCTTATCTTGCACAGGTAATTGAACGTAATGGCAAACAGCTTTTATGTCAATATCTCCATTTATATACTGGAAACAAATGATCCGTCTATTCTATTTGGACGAACTTGAAGCGAAGAAAAGACAGTCCATCTGCATGTATCATAATCATGATAAACAGATGTTTCTTCTATGGCTAATGTGTATTAAGAGCTAGCTGCATTGAACTATCAGCCAAGGAAAATATCAGAGATGATATAGTCCCATGACCATTGTATTAAGAACACACTATTCTAGGTAACTTGGTTACTAGGTAACTAGGCTATATTAACCCTTTAAGGGGAGAGTGCTGCCACTCCAGGGTGGCATGGAAAATTTATACATTTGGTGCAGAATTATGGGAAAATGAACTGGTGTGGCGGGCTGGCGTACAAAACATTTTATTTAGTTGTGCACACTACAATGTTCTCAACCAATACAACCATTTCTGTTTGTATTTCAGCCATTTAATAGAGGGAATTTGATTTAGCACTGACTGACTGTATTTCAAAATATGCTTAGTATCTGTTCTGTCTCATTCTAAAAGTGCTGACATTGCAACTCGGCAGCACATGTGAATATGTTTAAAACAGAATTTGTGCAGCCACTGGCACATGTTACTGAATCTTGATCAAATTTTCGACACACAAAAAGCAAACTTTCCACCCTGGCTGCCACTCAATGGGTTAATCAAACAAATTATATCAATCAGTGGCGTAACTGGCAGGTGTCCTGGTGTCCAGTGGCAAAAATTACCATGATACCATTTTTGCTAGTACATTATGTGGGCAAATTGCCCCCAGCCTCAGTTATAGAGGGCCTAAAAATTGGCCCCCAAAAGCAGGAATTAGTGAAATTTGGACCCCTTTTTTAGTAGACATGGATGGGGAAAACTTTTTGTAATTACTTTTTTACTTGTCATAGTCGGGAAATTATTTTTTTGAACCTAGGCTAACCTAGCAATACTGGCAGAGTTGTGATGGGTTATCAGTCCAGAAAACATCCAAATCTCGCCCATGAAGAAAATTAGAAGTTAATTAACCCCATATATATATATATGTTAGTTGTGTAATTGTATATATATTATTATATATAAAACAAATAATTACAATCTGGAGAACACTGTATAATTTTGTAAAAATTATAATTTTATATTATATATATATATATATATATATATATATATATATATATATATATATATATATATAATTACCAGAAATACTTAACCCCCTCCCCCTCTGGACAGAAGAGATTTCCTTCATGGGTGCAGTGTGGATCTTTTCTGGAATGATCCAGCACAGCTGTCAAAGGTTTTATAATTATATTAAAATGAAATTCAACATTATAATTATTTAGCCAGTGTGACTAAATTCACCATTACTTTTAAAATAGTAAATGGCAAAATGAAGACATATTAGTCATTATGATACTATACATGTGTGGCAAGGAGGTGTTAAAATTTGTTAAAACTGGGGTCTTACTAGAGAGGAAAGGCTTATTTGAGAAGGAGCGTTAATTTAAAAGATGATTTATAGTATGTAGTTATCAATTGAAATATATTTCAACCTACAGAGTGTCGATCAGTGAGCAGTTTCAAAGTTCCTTCCACAGTTATGGCACTGTTTGTTTCCTAAAAAGTCAATGTTAGAATATATAATTATAATATATTATATTTTTTTTAAATACATATATCACTGTGACAGTGATTAATTTATTCAACCATTATTACCATTTGCATTCAAACATTACCCCATGCCACAATAAAAAGTTGTTTCCGAGTTTTGTAACCAACGTTGTGATTGGACAACTTTACATTTCACATGTCAAAATATAGGGGGTAATGCTTGCATGCAAATGGTAATAATGTGCAAAATCCTGATTGTGTGTCATCTCTTGTCAAGCAAAATGGACACATGTCCGATAAAAGGGCACATGCATTAATAACAGGTTAAGCAACACACTGCATTTCTTGTTTCAATGTTTACCAATCAAGTACGTAACAGACTGTAAAGTTTTGGCTTTGGAGGAAGTTAATTTCCTATGCAAAAATTCCTGCAGTTACCGTAACGAAATCTGTGCAAATTTTTCAAATTGTAAAGAAACTGCAAATAATTCTGATGGTCTGCCATAAATATTCTGTGAAAATCTATGACATTTCTGAGCATTTTTCTCAAGGAAAAAATGTTTCCTGTGCAAAATAAAACTTTTCAGTCAGGAGTACATAGTAGGGACTATATCAGATATGGCATAACTGGCAATACCGAGGGGAAGCTCAAGATCGGGTCTACATCCCGCATGTAAAACTAAAATCAGAAATAATCTAATATTGTAAATAAATGAACTATAAACAAAATAAACTAAAACGTTAAGGCCAAATGACAATGGAAATGTAGATTCTGTTTACCGTGCGAGAATTTAAAAAATCTGATGCAGGTTTTTTTCATTATTCATTTTTCATTATTTTTGTTATTATCTATTTTCCGACCAAAAATGATTCTTAAATCGTTTTCTTTTGATCTCGACCATCAATACTTTTGTCCAGCATTCTTTTATCATTTTTGGGATTTCCTTTCCTGAAGATTTCTTTGTCACGCCATTGTTTTCGAATTTGCACATGTTAGACTCGCGAATTTCCGCGTGTACCGAACAAATGCCGCCGGCTGATCCATCATACATCAGCGATATACGGCTTTTTATATCGAATATTTGATGATTTGATGTATATTTGAAAGTGTCGATGCGTAGAATTAAAAATGACAAATAATGAAAATAATTAAGAATAATGAAAAATTCTTGCGGTAGTTGCATGCACATGCGGGCGGTGGACGGTAAACAGAATCGATAGTTCCATTGGCCTAAACGACCAGAACACATTTGGTACATTTTATATTCAATAAGAAACTATGGCAGTTAGGCAGTATATTGCATTATATTGCATACTTCAATGTACAGTGTACACTATATTGCATTATTTGGGTTTTCATGGCAGATAAGTTTTGAAAGCACCCAAACAGCTTATTTTGATAGCTATTTTCAATGGTATTCACAAATAGTATCAACAAGTCATTGAAGTCAACAAGTACAGTGATTCAGTGATTGTATATTTGTACACTCACAATCTGCCTGACAGCAAGTGTACCACAGTCACTGTATATACCTACAAATATGTGTAAAACTAAACGCACGTTTACCTTGAAATTTAGCGTGTTTAAAGCACCATCGGGTATGATATTATTGACCAAAGGAATTGGTTTTCGTGTTGCTACGTCCGCCATTTCTGATCTTGCTAAATCTTGTAACTAGGCAACCGGATATCTTCACCCGATTCGTAAAAATAACACAATATCACTGAAACACAAACAAAAAATTAGTATTTTGAAAGCACAGAAATGGATAAAATTATGAGCTGAACAACTATTTAGGTCTTTTTTATCATGTATTTTAAGATGTTAATCTTCTTACTGTATTTTTTTTCTGCATTTTATATATAAAAGATCAGAAAATGAAGCTGTCGGCTAGGATCACTGACTGATCTGCATTTTTTCGCCAAAAAAAAGCGGAAAATGTCACACCCGCTCCCTGCCCGCACCGCCCGCATAAAGCTTGAATATTTTCAAGAATGTGTAATCAAAAAAACTTTGACTTTTTTATGCGCTAACTTTACATGATTTTTGTGCTTTAAACAAAGCGTTGGTGTGAATCATGGAAGTTCGTTTAGTGGGAGAAGGAAGTATGAACGCTGAGAAGAAAAATATCCGCGGAATTCCAAAGCTTCGTGAACTTTTGAAGCGACAGAAAGGAGAGGCGGATAATGCACTTGATGGAGTACCTGATGTTGAATTTACTTATGCTGATGCTCAGTCTATTCAAGACGAAATGGCCGAGTTGTACAGTTATACAGAAGAAGAAGAGTTTGTAAGAAGTAAAGAAGCGTATTCTCGTGAGTTTCCCTTTATAACAAGTTGGCAGGGATTATCTGAAAATGAAAAGAAAGCATGTCTCAATCAATTGATCAATAAGATTGATAGCATTGAAGATGCTGTCCGGATACCAGCCATACATGCACTACTGTATCTAGCACAAGGTGCATTTGAAGCTGGTATGAGCGAGGACAAGCTCCTCAAGCAATCCAGAGAAAATGTATTTCTCATGTATTCATGTGGAGGCTTACATCTTATTATTCAATTGCTGAATTTGGAATCTGAAAATCCTAATTCAGCAATAATTATAATGCAAAAGCCATCCATCTCAATTGTCGATAGTGATGTATTAAGAGCATATCTTAACATCTTGTATATTATGGTCGAAACAATGAGATATGATGATCCTACTGACTCTGAGTTTATGATGGAGCAACGAGAAGCATTTATCTTTGAACTGAGTCAACCAGTTTATGACGAGTGTCTTCATATTATATTATTTGAAATGGTTGTGAAATTCTGTGCTGGCAACTGTCCATATTTCCCAATCAAAAAGATTTTGTTACTGCTGTGGAAAACAGTGTTGGTAACGCTTGGCGGGACAAAAGAAATTGACAAAGTAAAAAGACAAGCAAGACTGGATGCTGGTTTACCAGAAGCGTTTGATGAAAGAGTGCCAGATGAAAATGGTAGGGCAATGACAAGCAATGGAGCAAGCTCAAACAATCAAGATGATGGAACTGATGACATAGATGATAGTGAATTCAAAGCCGCGACACGTAAGCCAAGACCACGCCCTAAAGTCCGTCAGAAAGATATTGACCTATTCCTTGATGCAACAAGATCAAAGTTTGTTGGTTTTCAAATATCTGGTGATGACAGTACCCTGGCAGGTCTTCCACATCCCATCCATGAAGGACTGCATGTCATGAAGAAGCATATTTATACTTCACTTGGAGAATATCAGCTAAATGCCGAAGAAGAAGCATTAGAACGACCCTTCACAGCTATGAAATTTCAGTCCAAGAATGAAGTTTGTGAGTCATTGTACAAATCATTATTACCAAATATTCCCCAATATATGATTTCCTTATTGAAGATTCTGCTGGCTTCTTCACCAACTGCCAAAGCCAAAACTGATTCCATTAACGTTTTGGTTGATGTTCTTCCTGAAGAAATGCCAACCACAGTGCTTGATTCCATGCGCCTTGGCATTGATGTGAATCGTCACAAGGAGATCATAGTCAAAGCCATTTCTGGTTTGATTCTGCTTCTTCTTAAGCATTTCAAGAATAACCATATTTACCAGTTTGAATTTATCAGCCAGAACCTTGTGTGTGGGAACTGCATTCCTTTGATCCTGAAGTTTCTCAACCAAAATATTTCCTCCTACATATCCACAAAGAATTTCATCCCACAACTTGATTTCCCTGCTTGCGTTTTGAATAAGAAATCAGAGGTGACTGCAGAAACTCTGGAAAACAATGGTTCAGAAATTTGCTGCTGGAGAAACATGTTCTCTTGTATCAATCTCTTACGAATCCTTCAGAAGTTGACAAAGTGGAAACACTCCAGGACCATGATGTTAATTGTATTTAAGTCAGCTCCTATCCTTAAGCGTTCCCTGAAAGTTAAACATGAAATGATGGAGTTATATGTCCTGAAGTTATTGAAAGCTCAGACCAAGTACCTTGGTCGCAACTGGAGGAAATCAAACATGAAAACCATGTCTGCTGTCTATCAGAAGGTTCGTCATCGTCTCAATGATGATTGGGCATTTGGAAACGATATGGATGCGAGACCATGGGATTTACAAGCAGAAGAAGGCTCATTGAAAACATGCATTGATCGTTTCAACAATATTCATTATGGATCTGGCAACACTGGAGAAGAAATAATGAATGAGTATGATGAATATGATGTGAACATTCACAGTGTTCTGGATTCATCTGTTGAGCTGTCTGAAGATTTTAAGAATGCCTATGAAAAGTGGCTTGAAAGAGAAGTGTTTTCAGCTCCAATAGAATGGGAACAGTTATGTAGTTGTTCATTCAAGAGGGATTCCAACATCGACTGGTCATTATGCCATTAATCAGTGTTTATAGACTCTACCCGATGATCTAGTAAATGTGCATGGATCATTTGACATTCTATAGATACACTGAGACATTGTACAGTGCAATAAGCAAGCCTGGACACTTTATAATTTAATTAACTAATGTTATTCTTTTGTACTATAGCCTATACAACATTTCTGGTGTGTGAAAATTGCATTTATTTATGCAGAATAATTATTCTAATTTGGGGTGGCTAGGAAATTCAAATTGAAATGTGAGGGACCCACTATCTTAGATGGTAAGGGGTCGTAAGGACTACATTCACACGAGACTGGACGAGTTCAGAACCGTATTCAAATTCGTCCAGTTCCATCTGTTCACACGGAACCGTTAGTTGTGTTTGAATTCGTCCAGTTTCGTGTGTCCCTTGTGAACGCTTAGGCAAAAGCCGTGAAAATATGAGTACTGCAACGTTCGTCCACACGAGGCCTAATTCAACTGTTTTTTCGAACAGTGATGGTATAAGGGCAGACCTGTGAAAAATTCTTACGATCAATTTTAATGTGTTCATCTTCCTGGGCCTCGCGTTGTGCAAGCTCCATAATACGTCCTTAGAGATCAACTTTTGCTTAAACATGATTTCGCTCGCTATACTATACTCCGCCCATACTCTGACTTTAAGAGGCCATTAACCCCGAATATGATTTTTGGTATGTGTAATACCTGGATCATTCAAAGAGGAAAAGTTTATCTTGGCCAACTTTTTCATTGTTAAAATTGCCGGACATGACGTCATTAGATTAATTTATGGAACAAAACTCAGTTGCAATGCATCCAATCATTTTAATGATATATCAGGCCAACGTTCCCAGGCCTTCTACAATGAAAAAGTTGATGTGGTGACGAGATCGTTTTACTTACTAAACAAAGCCCAGTCCAATTGCCTTCACGACCCAGCGTTTCGACACTCCTGCCAGAGTTTTGTACAACCGGCCCCAGGCTCCTTGACAGTTTTCAGTCTGCTTTAGCCCTCGTGTCAATCTCGTTCCCCGAGCCTGCGATCTTCGGGAAGGAATCGAAGGCTCTGGGATAATCCGTTACCGGAAGCCAAGAATCATGGCTAAGATTGAACTACGCATTCCATATCAATGGCCAATCAGATTCCTCCCTGAAACGGATTATCCCAGAGCCTTCGGTTCCTTCCCGAGGATCGCAGGCTCGGGAACGAGATTGCCCTCGTGTAGGTCAGAGCCTAGGTGACTTGAAAAGGTTGCGTGGGCAAAGCGACTGTAATGGCAAACGGGCTGTAATAACATCGACGTTCTACAGCAGCTAACACGAGGGGGTTAATCAACGCCCAACACTTTCTTGTCATGTTGTGTCGTCTGGTGTGAGCATGAAATAACGAATTGGGTGCATTATGGCCAGGGACGCCGGAACTGGAGGGGCAGCCGCCCCCGTTGCTCTTTACTAGGAGGGCAAGGGGGCAAAGGTGCCCTTTCAATTTAAAGGATTGCCTTGGCGAAATAGCGAATTGTCAGAAATGTTAGTGCAATTCTTTCACGAATTTGCTTCAGAAAACGCAAGAAATGCAGTCGTCGAGCTTCAAGAATAGCACTGAATCCGAGGGGCATTTCACTCCAAAAATCCCGTACACTTCGTCAAAAAATCCGGAAAAAATCCGGAAAATCCAGCAGATTTTCTCTTCAAAAATCCGCTAAAAATCCGGGGAAAATCCGCTAAAAAATCCGCGGATTTTTAAAAATCCGAAAATCTCGTACGCTTCGTCAAAAAATCCAGAAGAAATCCAAACAAATCCGGAAAATCCAACAGATTTTCTCTTCAAAAATCCGCTAAAAAATCCGCTAAAAAATCCGCGGATTTTTAAAAATCCGAAAATCCCGTACGCTTTTTTGGAGTGAAATGCCCCTCGTGTAAAACTGCGACAACAAACTATCGCTTGCTTGCATTCGTTATGGCATTGTGTAGATTTGGCATGCACATGTCAAAAATAAGGGCAAAAAAATGTTTAAAAATTAAAAAAGCCCATTATCATTTGATGATTTTCAGAAAATTACGTACTTAAATTATCCAAAAACATCCTAATAAAGCTAGTTTTCATATATTGTGCATGAAATATTTAAAAGTTAAAAAGTTTCCGCGCTTGTAAAACTGCGACAACAAACTACATCGCTTGCTTGCATTCGATATGGCATTGTGTAGATTTGGCATGCACATGTCAAAAATAAGCCAAAAAAATGTTTAAAAATTAAAAAAGCCCATTATCATTTGGTGATTTTTAGAAAATTAGGTACTTAAATTATCAAAAAACATCAAAATAAAGCTAGTTTTCATATACTGTGCATGAAATATTTAAAGGTCAAAAATTTTCCGCGCTTGTAAAACTGCGACATCGCTGTGAACATGCAATTTGGAGTCTTTTGGCGGACATTTCAGTTGCATATTGTAAGTTCGAAAAGAGAAATAAAACAACCTTTAACATGGTATAAACGGAATTTTCTGCTTGTTCCTTATAATTAAATATTTTCCCTAACTTTTATATTGCATTTGAATGCCTGAATATGTTAATGAA